GATGTGAGAGCCTGGTCCGGTGAGAACCCGGCGTGCTCCGTCCCGGCTTTGTAGGGATGCGAGGTCAATGGTCTAACGACTACGGCATGCACGACTATGAGTACACCCCCCCCACACACACACACACACACACACACACCCTCCTTCCCTCTATTGTTGTTATTTGTTGATTTTCTCCCATCATTGGACTCTGTTGTCTGCCCCTCTGGCCCCTATCCTCCACTTCTACCAGCTAGACGACCCAACCGGGGTCACACAGTAGGGAGGGGTTGGACCCCCTCCTGCGGTTCTTGCCTGAGATTGTGTCTGGTGCCGGCTCTTCTGACTTAATCCGTCGTCTTGGTCCCAGAACAAACCCGTCACTTGCGATTGGAGCAAGGTCAACCCGGCATATGCTAGCAGGCAGCGGGAGCACGAGGCGACGCCAATGACGGTACGGAGATCACGACTCTGCTCTCTCTCTCGGAGTGTTATTATCATGTTTTCATGTGCTATCTAGACGCCATGCTTGCCGTTGAGTCTTCCCGCTTTAGTTTTCTTGGTCTTCTAACCCTTTTTGTTGGCGTCTAGTTCGGCTTGTTGGAAGACGTGCGTTGTCGTGTGTTTTGTTTCTTTCGAGACTTTTTTTTAATTTTGTTTCCTTCATGTGCGTTTCTTGTCCATCGTCCGAATGTTCTTGAATGTTTTCATGCAGGCCCCCAGCAAGTTGGACCTTTGATCGCATAACCTATCAATTCAAACGTTTGGTGTTAGGAAAAAAAAAAAATCACAGGCAGACAGAAAGACTAGTGTACCCATTCGATGTACCCATTCGAGATACACCCACAGTCGAGCGGGATGTGGGGGAGTCTTTTCAGTGAGGGGAGGAACCGGCTGGGTGATTCATACCAGCGATACCAGCTGATACGGTCAACAACCCTCATCTCTGTCTTGGTTTATATCTTTCATGCAGCTCCCAGGTGCCGGCAAGAGCGGGTTCGGCGGCGGTCCCCACGAGGCTGACAATCGTCAGGAGTGCTGGTTCTGCCTCGCGTCGCCCCAGCTGGAGGATCACCTCGTCTGCTCCGTGGCTGACGAGATCTACCTGGCGCAGCCCAAGGCAAGACAAGCGCTACTGCTGCAGAAGCATGTTTCTTTTTTGTCTCGAAACCACCACTGCTACTGTCTCTGTTTGAGGTAATGTCGGAACCAGCCCCGAGGTTTGTGCCATCCTGTTTTGGTGGTGTACCGCAGGTGACATGACGTGAGACGTCACACCCCCTTCGACCGATTTTCAAAGCTCGACTACTCCACGAAGAGGGTGCCGAAATATCGAAGTAGTCGTTTTCGCAAAGCCCTCAAGGAAACGGGTTCTTTTCCAACGCCAGCATTTTCGGCACCGTCACGGCTTTTCCTGCCGAGATATCGAGCTTCGAAAATCGGTTCGGGGGGTGTGTTATCTTGCGCAACCTACGGTAGGGACCGTTGCGATATTCACATTTTACATCCGAATAGTCCTTATCTTTTTCCCAACCAGCGTGGTGAGTGTCTTGCCTCTGTTTGCTCCGTTTTTTTTTTTTTTCGCGTGTGTATTCGGATACTTCATGCCACACCTTTTGCTGTTTCTTGTGCTTGCCGGCACTGTGCTGCGAGCGGACGTCTTGGATGGAATGCTGAGGGGAAAAAGACGCTTCTTTCTCGCCAAAAAGCGCGAAATAGCGCCCCCGGCATCCATCCTTTGCAACTTGCTTGTGTACAGCAGCCACACTTGTTTTGGTCTCGTCCAAGTGTAATTGAGCCTCTCCTCCATGCTTTTTTGTTTCTTTCCATGTTTCTCTTTTGTTTGCATCGCCTCTCTCGTTTTCCTGACGTTTCGCGGGGGTGATGGTGCGATGCTGCTGCTGCAGGGAGGCTTAGTCCCGGGGCATGTGCTGATCGTGCCCGTGTCGCACCAGCAGCGTTACAGCGAGCTTAGCGCTGAGGGGGCCAAGGAGGCCGAGCGGTACAAGGAGTCCTTCAAGAGGTATGTGGGTGCTTCTTGGGGGAAACCTTTTCCTGTTTTCCATGGTGCCGGTTTTGTAGTCGGTGTCGTCGTCGTTGTTGTAGGTGGTGTTGTCGTCGTTACTGAAGTGTTGCTGCCACTGCTGTTGCTGCTGCTGTTGCTGCTGCTGCTGCTGCTGTTGTCACTTGTTTGGCACTACATGTTTTGCTGTCGCTGTTGCTGCTGAGACGATCACCGTGGGTTTCATCGATCACCCTTCTGACGTTTGCACAGAAGAAGTGGTCTACGCTCTTTTCACGTTCATTCCATAACCCCCCCTCCCTCCCTCCCTCCCTCCCTCCCTCCATCGCTGTCTCTCTCTCTCTCTCTCTCTCTCCCTGCCCTCCCCCCCCCCC